GGGAAAATACACGATAACAGTAAGTTTGACCGGGTACATTTTCAATTCAGGATGAGAGATATTAAGACGATACAATATGGGCCTTGACACAAAAAACTTTTATAAAATGAAAATCCTTTGAGTATCTGACCTTCAGGTGCTCTAGTATCAAAGGACAAGAAAACCTACACCCTTAAAAAAACATATTAAAGATTTATCCATGGGGTTCTTACCTGAAAAGGAGCAAATTATATGTTGCAAATAAGTGATTAGATAATTTCCCTGTGTCTAAGGGATAGAAAAAACACAACATGTCTAGTGCATAAGAGAGTATAGAAGTTCTCATGGAAGTTTGGCATGGTTCTTTTCCCATAAAGGGAAGAGGATGAGGTTGGGTTTTTTAAAAGCTTAGGGAAACTTTAGACCTGAATAAAGCCTTATTTGGGACTGGTGGAGGAAGTGGATGCTGTGTGAAAATTGATAGCCATGTTTCATGACTGGAGGCCAGGCAACACAAAACACAGAGACAAATTAATGTGAGGAGGAGCTGACTCAATGGATTGCTCTCCTGAAGCTGAGTGTGGCTAGAATATACACAGCATACTCTACTCCATGAATATATCAACTGTATTTGAAAACGTGTGGATCTTTGCACCGGCGTATATTAAAGCAGACATATTACAGGTCAAATCCTGCCAAAGAAGTTGTTTTTCTTTAAAATTTGAATCAACAGAACATAATAAAGCATGCTTTGAAACAAGCCAACAGATCACATTTGTACTTTGAAGGCTCTCTTTTCTCTGTTTGGGAGCAACCTTACCAATTCCCAGATAGAGTGTGCTACAAAGGCATCTCCAATAGTGATTATGGAGTGCTTCTCATGACAGATGAGGGGCATAAACATTCTGAGGACCAAAATTGTGTGACTAAAACAAAGAGACACTCTGTCAACTATTCTAGCAGTGCAAAGCCACACTGAATGCAGATGAATGTCCCAGCACTAATATTACACTATTAGCCATCTGACGATTGGGCTCATTACCTAAAAAGGCAAAGCATCAATTTGCAGCATTGTAACCGTCTACTGTGCTGTGGAGGATGGATGGGGCTATTCTGACGCATTCCCTACTCATTGTGTGCTCGCAGTAGACACTTCTGCGCTAGCCTCTGGAGTGCGGCTTAATTTTGCATTGTTTCCATAACATTGCTTTCTATAATGGGGATAATATCCTTTCTTAAAAATAAACACTCCATGCAATCTCCAAATAATTCTAGGTTAAGTTTTTTTTTTCTCATGAAATTGTATGTGGATGACTACAGAATCATCTTAAAATTGAGGCATTCTGTGTTTTAAAAATATTTGTGTGGCACATGAAGCAACATTTATTTACCCATTCACTGATTCCTTTAATGGTCATGTTGTTGGACTAGGCACAAGGAACTTCCAAGGCATTGAGTGATCTCTGCCATGAGGATGCTTATGTCACAGAAGTGACAGATTGTCATCAGTATCTTCAGATATGGGCAAGCATAAGGGCATAAAAATCTCAAATAAATGAGAGATGACTGTATGTTCTCAATCCCCAGATATTCCTTGGGTAGCTGCTTGGTGCCAGGATCTGTCAAGGGGCTGACTGTAGAGAGAGGTGCAAAGGAGCCAAGGCTCCCGGATTATGGGATTGGCTACCTCATGGCAAGATGGGAAATAATGAGGAAACAAACAGTGGCCCTTCAGGTATCCACAGGTGCAGTGGGAAAATGAAGCAGGCACTATTAAAGAGAGCGATAGCTGCTGAGTGGGGAACTGTTAGGCTGGGAAAGCCTCTGTGGAGTGGGTATCTGAGTTCAAGCCTTAGTGATGTATCGTGTCTGAAGGATGCACAAAGCACCCAAGGCAGAAATGAGCTTGTCACTTTGTATAACAAAGAGAAAGTCACCAACTAGAGTGTAGAAGGAGAAAATGATAAATATGGCCATGAGGTAAGAAAGAGCCAGATTTTACTGACTTTTATAGGCCAAGGTAAGGGCTTTTTTTCTAAGTCTGAAGGCTTAGAAAATCACACTGGTGATTTTCAGCATGATGTGCTGTGATTCATAGTTTAGAAGGGTTGGTGGAGACGCTGTGAAAATCCCTGTGCAGAGAGGGAGAGAGCCATCAGGAGGGAGAATGGAGGTGAGTGAATGGTCCAGGGTGGATCAATGAAAAATTGGTTCCGGCAGCCTAACCATGACAACAGAACAGAATCTTCCTTGGCAGGCTTAGCGAAGGGGCTATATATGGATTAGGTTCCTAACTGCCAATGTAGTGAGAAGTGGTTACAGGTTAGGCAAAGCTTCTCAGAGGAAGTTAAATGATAGTGCCTGAACTGAACTTTAAATATTGGCAGCATCATGGAGTGGGCAGTTCCCTGATCTGGGGAGCACCTAGCTCTCTTCTGGGTCAGGAACTTCATTGGCTGTTGGGTATGACTTTATAGAAACCCTTGCAGAAGGCATGTGGGACATTTACTAAGGAAATAATACTCTAAGTAGCGAGGTAAATAACATGCCTATGGGAATTACTTTAGAATTAAGTCTAGAGACATTTTCATTCTTCCCCTTTTAATATAGAAACTCACATGATTAAGCTCTGCAGTATGCTTGTCTCTCCTCAAATTTGTTAATGTGTTAACTTTCCATCAGCAGAAACTCAGTACACCGTCAGTGGGCAAATTTCATTATATCACTTCCTTAGAAACTATGATTAATATTTATCTTTCTCTGTCTAAGGAGAAACTCTACCCTCCCTAGTGAGGGAGGGAGAAAAAGGGAGAAGACACCGGAATTGCTGATGGGTGTAGGTGCCCCCATTACAGATCACCTGTTCCAATCTTGCCTCCCTTCATCTATTCTCAGCTGGCGGACCTCACTTCAACATTCTCTCCTTCAATTCCTCTGGTAAATTGCCTCCAGAATTAAGCAGACTAGAATATTCTAGTCATAGGCATTCCCTAGTGCCCACAAAATACGCTCAAGATCCTTAGCCCTATAGAAATGGGCAAAAAACCCTACTCTTCCTGCTTTGTCTTTGGCTATGGGCCACACACTTTTCAACTATTCCAAGCACATTGCATTTTCTTCTGTTCTGATGATTTTGGAAATCATGGTAAAAACACATACAACTTATCAACTTAAATATTTTAACCCTATAGTTCAGTGGCATTAAGAACAGTCACACTGTTGTGCCGATCTCACTGGATTTTAAATGACTAATTATTTCCCAAATGTTTTCAGAAAGTGATTGCCTGGGTAACATCTGTAATTACACAGTTCCTTCTGGCCTCCTGAAGTGCCTTTCCTTCCCTTACCAATTAAAATCCTACCTACCTTGAAAGGCTGGCACTTACACCCTACCACCTCCTTTAAGCTCCTTTAAAACCTTTTCTGGAAACATAAGGTCAACTCTGTTGCTAGGTTACACAGTTTCCAGTAAAAAATGATACCTGGATGACAAATCACATCTAGACTAGAAAGCCTACTGATCAACTGTAAATGCACGATGGGATGGGACACTGTGGACCTCTCCAAATGATGCCTTTTGTTATTAGGCAAGTCCCTTGTAGGGACTCTAGAGGCGAAGTCTTGGAGCTGCTATAAGAGATATTGCTTCTAATGGAGCATGAGGCTCTTCCAGTATTCTTATTGGTGTATATCCACTGCATATACTGTTTGTTTTTATATAGACACATTCTTTGAGTATACCCTGTACTTTGTCCACACCCACCTTTTCCCTTAGTCCTCTTCCCACTCTTCCTTCTGATAGTCTCTTCCATTCTATTACTTCTCCTTCTGTTTGCATGTTGCTCGTGTGTGTGTGTGTGTGTGTGTGTGTGTGTGTGTGTGTGTGTGTGTGTAGAAAAGACTGTTTTTATTTGTAAACAATTCTAGGACCACAAAATAAAAGGATATTTTATTTGGCTTAATATAATAATCTCAGTTGCATATATCCTCCAGATAATGACACAATTTTACTCTTTTTATGGTGAACAAAACTCTGTCATGTATATATATACTATATACAACACTAAAGAAGTCGATTCATATGGTAATGGATACCCAAGCTGACTCCATAGCTGCAGTATGCAGGTATCTGTGTAGTATACTAACTTAGAGCTCTTCAGACACACACCCATCTGTTGTATAGCTAGGTGATGAAAGTACTATTTGGAATTTTGTAAGGAACTTTTGGAGCAATGAATGGGCTTAATTTACATCCCTACCAACAATACATAAATATTTTTCTTTCCCTGCATCTTCTCCAGCATTGGTTGATGTTTGTTTTCTTAATGCTAGCCATCCAGAGTGGGATGATGTGGAATCTTGATCTAGTTTGACTGTGTGTTTCCTTGATGACTGTCTTAGTTAGGGTGCATTTCCTTAATTGAAGTTCCCACCTCTCAAATGACTAGCCTATGCCAAGCTGACATAAGACTGTCCAATACAATAATTAAAGATGCTGGACATTTTCAACATATTTGTTGGCCATCTATAATTCATCTTTTGAAAACTACCTCTCCATTTCATTAACCTATCTACTGATTGGGTTGTTTGGCACTGGGGACATTCAATTTTTTTTCAGTTCTTTATATATTCTAGATATTAATTTTGTTAGATGTAAGCCAACCAAGACTTGCTCCCATTCATGAAGCTGTTAAGTCAAGGGCATTACTGTACTCACTCAACATGAATCCCATCTTTTTGACCTCTATTGTCACTGTGAGTTAGGACTCACACCGAAGAGGTATTCTGAATCTGTTCCACTGTTCTGCAGTGTTTCCAATATTGCATTCTTGTAGGTCAGTTTAAAACCAAGTGAAGCTTGTGGTAGTCTTTTGTGTCCAATTAAAGTGGGACCTAAGACCACTCTGATGGGCAGCAGCAGCATGTGGGAACACTGTATTCCCAGGTCAACACTGTTAGATACTTTGACTGTAAGTCACTGGAAATCATTCATAATGTAATCCCGATAAAGCATCCCTTACCTTTGGAAGGAGCTGGATTGCCTGTAGAATTCTCTGTCGGTGTCCAGAATTAAGGATTCCAATTTCCAACAAGTCCTGATCTTCCATAACATTGCTTCCCTGAAATCAAACCAGAAATGTTACCTGATAAATTCAGCTTTTATGCTGTGTGAAATAATAATTTAAGTAAGGTAAAACATTAACTATTCTGAATTGTATAAACACAAATAGGGTCATCCTCCTTTGCGTGTGAGGGAAGAGTGGTCACCCAGGAAACTGGTTTGAAGGCTGTGGGAACCAACCTTCTCTCACGTCCAGCTCTCATGACTTACAGTTCTCATGACTTACTATTTATGGCTAAATTTTCTGCATTGAAGAGTCATTCACATGACTTTAGAATTCTGTTTCTGTAAAAGTACCAGTGCTTCTAGGAAGAGTTGTCATTCAGGATTATCAGTGACTTATGGAAGGATGTGAATGAATCAATTTATTTTTAAAAACTCATCTGAAAATAGATTTTGTGAGGAGGGCTGATGGAAAAATTGACATGTGCCATGGCAGGTTAAAAGTAAAAATAATTCATTTTAAAATATTGAACGTCAGATTCTTCAAATGTGGGGATGGAACAATGAATAAGACGCAAGTATGTGCTAGCAACTGTCGTTATTGCTACCATTTGAATATTGCAAACGGGTGCCATGGGATGCTTACTTTGGAATCCTGAGAGTATTGGGGGCACATTTTTGGAGATGATGTATAATCAAATATATGAAGTGTGCTTAGGACCCAAAACATTTGTGCAATAACCCATAGGGAGGAAAAAACAACTAAACAAACATGTATACTGGAATTAGAACAGAGAGATAATAAAAATGTAAGGAGGCAAAGTAAGCCCAGACTAAGCCAAACAGACATTGTATAGCATAGTGATAGTTTGTGTTCATTTTGGCTATCATGGAAAGCCATGGGCAGGAAAAGAGTTACATGGTGAAATTATAAATTTAGAAAGATCATTTTGACTTTTATGACTGGGCCTCAGTTTCCTTCCCTATAAGATGAAAAGGCCAGGCCACACATTCTCCAAGGACTAGTCTACTCTTAAAAGTCTCAGATCTCAAATGATTATTTTAAGCCCCTGATTAACATTTGAAACAGAAAGGCAGAGATTCCTCATTTTGTCCCTAAATTCCAGTCTTCGGAGTTTACAAGACAGCGTTTCTCTTTAAACTGAAGAGTCTAATATTCCAAATGGAACACAGCAACCACGTGTTCTCACTCACTCTGGGGAGCTAGAAAGTAGAAAGGAGGTTGCAAGACTATGAGGAGAGGCTGGGAGGCTGGATAGTGGGATAGATAGAGAAATTCATTAAAATGCTGTATCACACAGTACAAGTTTCATATATCCTAAAATTATTGGAGAAATTAAATGTTTTCCAGCACATAGGAATATTTAAAAAGATGAGATGTTAATGGACACATTTGATTATTATCCATGGTGCACACATATCACATGACCACATTGTGGTTCTTAAACAAGAACAGGGATTATATGCTATTAAAACAAAAATAAAAGATTGAACACTTGAGGAATGGATGGAAGTTCAAGAATTTGAACTGCTGTTTTTTTTTTTCCTGGATAAATCAAGCTCCATCCTCTTAACGTGTAACACAAGATACTTATGAAAGAAGGGATAGAATACTTGGTCATGGAGAAAACAGGTACTAACAGGTGTTCAAAACAAAAGAAAATGAACTAGAAAGGCCAGAAAGGGCATTCTTGGGGGTCCTGAAGACCATTAGGAGGAGGCAATAGTTGTTTTAGGGATGGCATGGGCATGGATTTAGGTTATAATCGTGGAAGGCAGAAAACTATTGAAACCATCAAATGGTTTTAGTTGGAGATTAAACCTGCAGAATGAAGAGAAATGCAGAATGGGGCAGGAGATCGATCTAGATTCCTTCCCTGAGATGGAGGGGGTCTAGATTGGTATAAAGTGAGATTAGTACCTTTTCTTCTAAGTGCCAGAATAGATGGGTATAAACAGTTTCATATCAGACCATGTTATAAACAGATAATTGACTGCTGTTAGAAGATTAAAGCCATTAGAACGGCGCCACAGTTAGGGATTTCAGATGGGCATTCACTGAACGAAAGTGTTCCACCTACACCTAGCATCACGCCTATGCTTAAGCTACACCAGCCATGTCGGAGGAGGTAGGATGATCCAGGTGCATAGCAGCGCGATAATGAAAAGCCCAATGAAAAACAAATAAAGCCAGTCTTGGCACAGTGCCACAGGAAACACTGCTCTCAAGAAACTACTCAGTGCATGCAATAGAGCATGGCTAAAAATATAAATGACTTCATTTTGAGGAATCGTTATTACTTCCAGAAATGGACTGAGGTAGCCTGAGTGGAATATGTGATACCTGGTCCAACTTTTAATCTTTGAGGACTTCCCAAATCACTTACTGACCCCAAACAACCACAACATTGGCCATGTATGGGCCAGACTGCTGTCAGGTTTCCCACATACCGAATTACCAGTCCATACCTTTAACTCACCCAAAACATGGGGCCTGGGTTCTTTGTATATCAGCAAGCAAGCATATCATGAAGATTTTATGGTTTGTAGGACCTGTTGTCCACAGCTAATCCTAAGAATTTGACAGCAGTATTTGAATACTATGATGGTTTTAACAATTAATTCCTGAAAGACCACCACTTGTTTTCTACATCATCCATACACTGTCTTTTCTATTTTCAATAAGGGAGGAGACTTTTGGAAAAACTACAAAAGTCTGACATTTAAAAAAGGCTATTAAACACACAACAACCTTGTCCGTTGGATTAGATTTCCTAACATACAGGATACTAACAGAGCACTTTTGAAAAAAATGAGTGGAAAGTAGGGAAAGTATAATATAAAACATAAGGATGTGCTTCATGAATTGGGGGATATAAAGGGACTCTGTTCATTGTCCCTAATGAGGCACACTACTAGAATTTTTTTTTTACTAATTGTTATTTGTTCAGGATATGATGTTTACATGGATAGAAACACCACACTGTATGTGGCAAATATGTATGATTATTTTGTGTCATGAAAAAACAATAAAAAGTGAATATTCTATTTTCCATGTTTATGTAATACATAGGATAGATAACCCCAAATATTGTGATATGTCTTCAGCCTGTCTTAAAATGTAAGGTGGCTTGACCTAGGATTGGGTCGTGGTTGGGTTAGTTACATAGTTTTTAGGCTTCTTTGTTCTTACCTGTAAAATGGAGCAGACTAATCAATATGTATAAATGCTATTGTTATATGTTAAAATGCTATTATTTCAGCCATGTTTAACTTTTGATTAGTATCATTATATATAAATATAGAGTATATATTTTGAAATGACATTTTAGTGTTTTTGAAATTTGTAACCTAAAGTTGGCTTTAAGAAATGATTTCAGAGAAGTTTGAGAATATGGCTTTTTGTTTTTGAAAAAGCAATCTAAGCAATATGAATTTATAAAATTTTCCTGTCAAAGGAAGTAATAGAATACCTTCTTCGTAGCATTATGGATTCTTCCGGCTTTTCAGAGAAAAATGAGATTTTACAGCTCTTATGATTTCCTTTGGCATTTGGGTCACAGTTACACTACCAAGACCACAAACATTCCAATCCTGCCTAAGGAGCTAGTCTATTCTCACTCTATTGCTTGCTTTTCTTAATACAGAGACTTTCAGCTTAACGTACCCCCTTTCCCTAACAAAAGCCAAATATAAACCTATTTCCCCACTCCTTTATCCACTTTTCACATCACTGGTTTGGGGAGCAGAGCCCCATGACAGTCCTCTGCTTACCCACCTGTCCCAGTGCATCCCATCCTCACCTCCCCATGACACTGCCCTCTGCTCATTACTCATCTGACCTCCATAACAAGCTTTCATCCTCCAGGAGCTCCACAGACATCCCTACCAAATGGTAGTCTAACCCCCCCACCCCCAGTTGCCAGATCCAGTCCTGAATCCAGGTGCTTGCTGGCTCTTTTGGCTGGTGGCTATAGATTGGATAATAGCGATTTCCAGCATGTCCGCCACTGTGGCGAGTTCTGTGAAGCAGTGTTTCTCTACACTTGTAGATGGTGAAACCTTCGTCAAATCACATAGATGCGGCAAAATGAGGCCAAGAATAAAACATACTCATCACTCTCGGGATGTAATTATTTACGCGCCATTTGGTAATAGTCTGTGGATATTCGATATAATGTCTTTAGCAAATTCTCTCCTAATAGTTCAGTGGTCAAAAATGAATTGTGAGCTTGTTACACTCTCAGGGGCATCTATTTATTATGATGTTAGAAATCCATGCTACGAAATGACAAGTGTGGCTGACAGTTTTGCTTAGCACCCTGTAGGGCGCACTGCACCGGTGTTTCGGGAAGAGAAATCACAGAGAGAATAGTTTTGTGAGTCGCTAACCAAACAACTCACGAGCATGATCAAAGGCCCGAGGTGGTGTTTTTACAGCTGCTGCTCTTTTCCTGACAAGAACTGACGGATCCAGGGGTTCTTTATTACTTTCTTAAATCACAGAATGAAGAGAAATCACCTAATATTTTATGCGCTAATAGCTGAAGCTTAAGTTTCCCTGACCGTGGGGAGATTGTTATGTATGGCAAGTTTTCAGCTCAGATAAACCACCGAGATGACCAAATAGAAATGGGAAGTTGCGTTTCCTACTTAATGGCCCATTAGAGATAGAACAGCTATTTATTGAAATCATATCTCAGGAATGTCTGCGCCGGTGGCTCCGGCTCTCAGAACAGCTTGAGAAGTTCATGCAGTTTCATAACTTTAATACAATATTGCATTCATTTAGAATCTTGGACTTCATATCCCACATTAAATCAAGTGCTAGGGAAGCATGTCCGAGACCTTGGGAAGCTCGTTTCTCTTAATACATGCTTGAGCTGGAGAATGGTTTTATTCTTTTTCTTCACGCAGGTCCAAACTGAAAGCATCAAGGGATATTATTGGTGGGGAAGATTGCTTTTGCTTTATAATTAGCTCGATTAGATTCTTCTGGAAATTTGTGTGGCTTTATATTTAAACAGGATACAT